TTCAACACCCCACTCTCACCACTGGACAGGAACACCAGACAGAAACTTAACAAAGACACAAAGGAAAAAATAGAAGTTATGGCGCAATTGGACTTAACAGATATCTATAGAACATTCCATCCAAATGCAAAACAAATTACCTTCTTCTCAGCGCCACATGGAACCTTCTCTAAAATCATTCACATACTTGGCAACATAGCAAACCTCAATAGGTTCAAAAAATTGAAATAACCCCTTGTATCTTATCAGACCACCATGCTTTAAAGTTAGAATTCAACAACAACATGAATTACAGAAAACCTACAAACTCGTGGAAATTAAGTAACACCCAATTGCACAATTCCTGGGTAGAGGAAGAAATAAAAAAAGAAATTAAAGATTTCCTATAATTCAATGAGAATGAGGACACAACATACCCAAACCTATGGGACACTTTGAAAGCAGTACTAAGAGAAAAGTTCATAGCACTAAGTGCCCACATGAAGAAACAGGAGAATAATCACTCTAGAGAATTAACAGCAAAACTGAAAGCTTTAGAACACAAACAGGCCAAAACAACCCGGAGGAGCAGACTACAGGAAATAATCAAATTGAGGGCTGAAATCAATAAAATGGGAACTAGGAGAACAATACAAAGAATCAATATAACAAAGAGCTGGTTCTTCGAGAAAATCAACAAGACAGACAAACCTTTACTCAAACTTGCCAAACAGCAGAGAGTGAACATGTAAATTAATAAAACCAGGAATGAAAAGGGGAACATAACAACAGACACAGAGGAAATCCAGACAATCATCAGGTCATACTTTGAAAACCTATATTCCTCCAAATTCGAAAATCTAAAGGAAATGGACAATTTTCTGGACAGATTTCACCTACCAAAATTAAATCAAGAACATATAAGCAACTTAAATAGACCTATAACCCCTAATGAAATAGAAGCAGTCATCAGAAGTCTCCCAACCAAAAAGAGCCCAAGGCCACATGGCTTCAGTGAAGAACTCTACCAGAAATTCCAGGAGCAGCTAATACCAATTCTCAAAGTATTCCAAACAATAGAAGCAGAAGGGTCATTGTCAAACTCTTTTTATGAGGCTTCAATAACCTTGATACCCAAGCAACACAAAGACACAACTAAGAAAGAGAACTATAGACCAATATCCCTCATGAACATTGATGCAAAAATTCTCAATAAAATACTGGAAAATCGAATCCAAGAACACATCAAATAAATCATCCACCATGATCAAGTAGGCTTCATCCCAGGGATGCAAGGATAGTTCAAGATACCAAAATCCATCAATGT